CCCCCCCCCCCCCCCCCTCAGATTACATCCGAGCTTATCGCCACACCCGCTGGCGGCCGCACCAGCGGCAGAAATAACGTACCCAAGCCAGCCGGCAGAGCGATGCCATCCCGGGCTAGAGACGGGAACGGGCGAGGGAACACTAGTGAGCCACTTCCGGCGGAGAACGGAGCCGGCGGTGTGGTAGAGGAAGGGGTTCGGCTGACCAGGGGGCACACCAGACGCGCGAGGGGTAACGGTGCCGGGGCCGCGAGAGGGGTTGGTTCTTCTTCTTCTGGTGGAGAGGGTGTGTCGTCAGAGTCTGCGGCGGACGGGGCCTTGACCCCCGCGGGCGGCGGGGAGGGTGACGGCACCCGGAGCGGGAGCGGCGCCGCGGCCAAGGGCAAGGAGAAGGCTGTTGCCCCGGCGCGCAGAAGCAGCGGACGCTTGTCGACTGCCGCCGCCGGCGGCAGCTCGGAGGAAGGCGGCGGCGGCGGCGCGAGAGCAGCGGTGGCCTTGGTAGCCCCCCCACTTCCGGGGGATGACGCTGCTGCTGCTGCTGCAGACGACCAAACCGATGGAGCTTCGCTGTCGGTGCTCCAAGACGGTTATCACAACAGGCTAACCTGTCCCGCCTGCAACGCCGGGGCGGAGCTTAGACCGGTGACTCTCACCGGTGGCCGAGGACGCGGGAGCATGTTCGCCCCCTTCTCCACGCCCAGCCAACCCGTCGCCGTCAAAGCCGCGCAATCGCTGTCGTCTTCCAACCGCATCGGAGGTGGTGCGCCCAAGGACTCGTCAGCCGGCGAAGAAGTTGGAAGCGCCGCCGCCGCCGCCGATGGTACCGAGGGGAGGGCTGCGGCTCCGGAGTCTGCGGCTGCTGTCGCCGCTGATTCCACGGGGAGGGGCGTGTTGACGAGTGGCGGTGGTGACGGTGGTGACGGCTCTGTCGCCCTGGCCAATGGGGGTACGGAGGAGAACGCTTGTGACGATGGGAGTGCCGTCGATGGCATGCCGCCGCCGCCGCCGCCGCCGCCCGCTGCCGTTGAGAACGGCACGGTGTCTGCGCCGGAAGCAACGGCAGCGACAACGCCAAACGAAGGTCCTGACGGTCGGGGTGAGGGCGGTGCAGCTGTTGCCGTGTCTAATCCCGACGATGCAAAAGGCGGCGGCGGCGGCGACGGCGGCGGCGGCGGCGGCGGTGCTCAATTCCGCCGAGATGGCCATCACGATGCCGCAGCGACGGCGGCGGCGGCGGCGGCAGCACCACCATCTGACTCTGAGGTAGTTGCTGCTGCGGCTGCCGATATCGCCGAGAGGGGCGCTTGTGTCGCCGCGGGCGCTCCGGGCGATGGACCTCCCTCCGAAGCCTCGGCGTTTGCGTCGTCGTCGCCTTCGGCTGATGGTGGCGGTGCTGCCGCTGGTGTTGGCGGGGAAGCTAAGCCGCCGGCGGCTGCTGCAACGGTCGGAGTATCCTGCGGAGGCACGGACAAAAATGCTACTAGCGGCGTCTGCAGCTCAGACGGGGGGCAGGGGGAGGGGAAGGATCAGGTGCGCGGGGCACACACAGCGTAGGCGTTTACTTCTTGGCCCTGGGTTGGGGGCTGGATTTCTGTTGTTTTGCGATGGGCGGGAGGGTGTATGGAGCAGACGCAGAGCTTGGCTCTCGATCGCCCCTGATCCGCACACTGCTTTCATAGCAACAGGCCCGGCGACAAATCGTTCACAAGTGTGACAGCAGCAGCCCTCCGCTTTTTAGTTGGTGTCGGCTACATGCGCGCCCAGGCGACGCGACTTGTTTCTTCGATCTACTTCTGTATCCGCGTGCTCTACGTTTGCAGAGTAACATACAGCATTTAGTAGATTATTATGTTTTTTCCGATCTCTCTCACGGAGTTTGGCACGTGTGCGAATGCCAAGGGGGCTTGGTTCCTGTCTCACCAACACGTGCACAACCTTCTCTTGCCACTAGAAACGTAGCAGTCGTCAGAATGGCAAGCGGACGCTCTGCAGGCTGGGTTACTCTTTCTGTACAAACGAGTACGATACGACGAAAACCCTTCCTAGTCTGTATGCATGTGGCGCCAACAAGCCGTTGTATTTCGTGCTTCGGTCCTCGGTTTGTGTGCAGGAGCAGGTGCAGGAGCAGGCGCCGCCGATGCCCAAGTCCATGAAGAGAAGCATTTCCGCTGTTACTAGCGGCGGCAGCGGCAGCGGTGCACCCGCCGAGCGAGGGGGGGAGAATGCCGGCTTCTGGTGCCCGCCTTTTAAGGTGGGGCCCGACCGCCTTCTGCTCTGTCGTCGGGTTGCTTCCTGTGGATTGTTGTTGCCGTCGTATGTTGAGGGAAGCTCAGCACGTGCGAGCGTTAGCAGTCCGAACTGCTTGCTGTGCAGCACACGCTTCCGGCGACAGCTTTTTTTCGAAATGGGGGCGTGGTGTGATGAAACTGCAAATATGTTTTTGGTCTCTCCGTGTGTCTCTAACCCACTCGCAATGTTTTTTTGCCCTGTCGTTTGTGCCCTATGCTTGTCGCGCGCGGCTGCACTCGTTCGTTTCTCTCTCTCTGCTGCCTTGTCCTCAAGCTTGTCCAAGGGCTCCCGCCTTACAACCGCGGCTACAACCTCATCTTCCAGCGCGCCTACCGCGGCGGCCTCATCTTCGACACGCCGGGGGCCATCCCCAAGCCCACCGTCGTGCCCCACACCCTGGCCCCTGCTGGCGGGGGTGGCTGGAACACCGGCATCGACATCCCCAGGGTGTCCAAGAAGGCCCGGCGCGACAAGCAGCAGCAGCCGCCGCAGAAACACGACCCGACAGATGGCGGCGGGGGCGACAAGAAGCCGTCGAAGAAGAAAGATAAGAAAGGTTCGAAGAAGAAAGACAAGAAAGGTTCGAAGAAGTCGGCGCCCGGCAAGGGCGACGACGTCAAGCAAGAGCGGGTTGAAGGAGCTGCTGCTGCGGTCGGAAGCCCGCCGGTTCCTTCGGCCGACGCGGGTTCGGCAAGAAAGCCTGCGGCGGAGACAGGCGATGCTGGGGTTTCCGCCGGGGGGAGGTGGACGAGTCGTAGAACGGTCCTCGGTGATGCCGGCCGAAAGCACAACAGCGGCAGCGGCGAGGAGACAAGCCGAGCGGGGCCGGAGCGGGAAACGCGGAAGCACGGGGTGTCTTCTTCTTCGCCGTCGTCCTCTTCTTACGTTGTGGCGTGGTTAGAGGGCGAGGCCCGGAAGCTGGAGCGGCCCCCGGCTGGGGTGCAGCCCGACGGGATATCGCGGACGATGATTGAAGACCTGCCTGTGGGTCCTGAGTCTTCGGTGGTTGAGCCTCCGCTGCCGCCCTCTTCCTCCTCCGGTGCTGTAACCGCCGCCAGTGCTCCTGCTACCGCTACTCCTGGTGGCGGTGGTGCTGGTGGCCACGACAGCGACGGTGCTCCCTCCCGCCCGCGGCAGAAGGAAGAAAAGCCTCCAGTGCGTTCATCGCCAACGGCGGCATCAGAGCCGCGCGGGGGGGAAGGCGAGGGAAGTCGGGAGATGGAAGAGGCGGCGAAGGGGGACGACAAGGCTGGCGGGCAAAGGGAAACGCGCAAGCGGGGAAGCGCTACAGCAGTAGCAGGGGGCCGACGCGGGAGAAGGGAGGGGCGGGCGGTGTCACCGGCGCTGAAGCGAGTGGCCAGCAGGAAAGACTCGGCGGGGCAAGGCCAAGAAGACACCGGGCGTTCCAGTGGTGGTGAAGGATCGGCGGGACGAGGGTCTGTATCATCCAGCCAAGCCGAGGCCGGCGAAGACGCCGGCGCAGATGATAAGCACGCGCATGGTTGCGTCGGTCCGGACCCCCCGGAGAATTCCGCTGCCCCGATGACGTCAGGATGTCGGGAGAAGAGCGGTGCTGGTGATGACGTCGGGGCACCAAAGGTTGCGGCGGCGGCGTCAGCGGCGGTGGGGGCGGCGGTCGTGCTGAAGCCGAACCAGGAGCGAGAGGAAGAGGGACGCCAACAACAGCAGCCGCTCTGCACTCCTTCCCGAAGAGGTGGCCTCACCTCGCAGCTGCCAACCGGTGATGCTGTCGACTCTACCGCCACCGCCGCCTGTCGAACCAAAGGAAAGTCCCCAGCCCGGCTCAAGCAGATGGCGAAGAAGAAATCTTCTTTCCCAACGAAAGGGGACGGCGACGCAGCCTCGGGGAAAGGGAAGGGCCGGGGGGAGACGCCGCGCCGATCCTCGATACCCCTCTCGCCGACACAGGCAGTGTTCCAGATGCCCTCAGACGACGACGAGGAGGATGAGGAAGAGGCGGCGGCTTGCGCTGCCCCGATCAAGCAGAGGCGCGAGCTATCCCTCGCGAAGCGGACGGCGGCAGTGGGCTCTACGCCTCCGGCGACGGGGCCTGCGGCGCCGGCGCCGTCTTCGCAACCCCAGCCCGTGTTGTCGTCTTCCATCAAGAAGAAGAAAAAGAAGAAGAAAAAAAAGAAGAGCGACGATGACGGCGGCGGCAGCGATAGCAGTCTTGCCGGCAAGGCGGCGCCCGTCGGCGTCACCAAGGCTCGTCCTACCAAGGGCAACGACCATGCTGTGGCGAGGGCTGCTCCGGCCACCGGCGGCGAGTCGGAAGCCCGGGTGGGTGCCGCGGGCGGCGCGAAAGCGAAGCGGGGTCGAGACGGGAAAGATGGCGTCGGTGCTGGCTGTGATGCTCCCGCCGGTGCCGCTTCGGCAGCCGCGGTCGTGCCGCAACCCAGCGGTCGGAAGCAAAGAGCCACGGTGAGTTTTGCCTGGGTAGAGGAGTTGGCGTGTGACCACAGGCGGTAGGTGGGCGGGAGAGAAGCTGTTGCGTGGGCCGTTGTAGTGCGTGCGATGTCCCGCGTCGTCACTTGTGCTGCATTTTCCATTTCTTGGTTTTTCGGCGTGGCTTCGCGTTCCCTGTATCCTTAGGCGTTCTTGTTGGTACACCGTTAACGTGCGTGTTTTTTTGCTACGTGTGTTACATTGCCCGTCCAGCCAGCCGCTATCTTTCGACGCCGTCACCAGCAGCATCTCTTTCGTCCCATGTGGCAGCAACTCGCTTGATTTACGAAGCGTGCAAGTGATTGTCTCATTCCCCTTGCCTTTGTCTACCGTTTTGTTGTCGTGCGATACATGGCTGGAACCTGCTGTCCGGCTCGTGTTGTATACTTTGGCTCATGAATTAGTTTCGTTTGGCGAACACAGCTTAAGGACGGTTTTCCGCTCGATCGTATCCTCGTCTGGATTTGTTCATGACTGCGTGTCTACTGTTTTGACAGTATTTTTTTTTTTTTTTGCTTTTCCCAAAGTGTCCCATTCTCTTTTTCGAGTCAGTCCTGATACCTTGGTCTTTTCTCACTTGGGATCACTATACTCATCTGTCCTCAAGGTGGTTTATTTCTTTGGTGGTGGCACGGCTTGCAGCCTCGCAGGCTTCTTATCCTCGACTAACCCCGTGTCAATTTATTGTAACACCCAATAACGCAAAAAACCCTAAAAAAAATGTATGTTTTTGTGTCTTTGTCCGTCGGCGACGTTCGTGCGGCCCATCCAGGCGCCGCCTGTGTTTTACGGTGACGATGACAGCGGCGACGGCGACGGCGACGGCGATGACTTGCGGCGGCACCCGATCGCCGTCAGCGCCCCTGGTTCCAAGGCCAAACCGAACAGAAAAAGAAAGAATCCCGCCGACCCTGCCCCCGCCGCCGCTCCGCAACCACCGCCGAAGGCCGGGGCAGCCGAGCACTCGCGGGAGGGCGCGGTAGCCTCGGCGACTCCAAAGGCACCGGCCGTCAAGACAAAGACGGCCACCGCCGCAGCTGTCCCTAAAACCTCCCGGTCGGGGGTGGTAGTTGCGGCGGCTGCGGCTGCGGCTGCGGCTGCGACAGCAGCAGCAGCGGCGGCCGCCGGAGCGGAGCGGGACTCCGGTCCCGAGGGCCCGCAAGCCAAGAAGGCGAAGAGGTCGGCCGAAGTGGCGGAGACTCGTGAAAAGAAGCTCGAGCGCGGAGAGGCAGCAGCGGCGGGAGGCGGCGTCAACGAGTGGCCGGCATCCCCCAGAGGCGACGAAGGCTGCCAGAGCGACGGACAAGACGCGAAGGTTTCGGGCGCGGCCACCGTCGCCGCCGCCGGTGGTGGTGGTGGTGGTGCTAGCGGTGACGGGCCCCCCCGATTGGGGGGGGACTGGAAGCCCGGGCGGAAGCGGGAGCGCAGCAGCGAGGGCGGTGAAAAGAACGAGAAACCGGACCAGGAGGGGGTCTGCGCGGGCAGCGATCGAACTCGAGAAGCAAAGGGCAATGCAGTTGTCGGCGCGAACGGCGACGTTGGTGCTTCTGCTCGTGTGATCCTCCCGGAGGAGGGTGGGGCAGAGACGGCGGGTAGCGGGCGCGGACCGAGCGGGACCGATACTGGCGAGAACGGCGGCGGTGGCGGTAGTGGGCATGCCCGGGAGGCGGCTGCTGCGGCGGCGGCGGCGCTTGGGTGTGTGAGAAGAGGGTCCCGCGTGAAAAAGGCGATCGCGTACCTCGGAGATGATGAGCCCAAGGTACTGCTGTCATTAATGGTGGTTTGTCTCGTATTGTACCGATGTTGTTGTTGGCACTACTGGCCAGGCCAGAGACGGTTTCAAGTATGTGCCACTAAGGAAGCTTCATCCGTTTGTGGAAGAGGAAAAGGTCGAGTTGTTCGTCTTTTTTTTATTCACTTGAGATTGTGTACTTCGAGAATCGACGACCGAGTGACTAGGCTGTCGATAACAGCAGGTTGACGGACAGCACCTTGCTTTTGCTTACGTTTGGAGAGGGAGCAAGAAGCGTATCTTGCCGGAAGACTACCCAAAAGGGGAGGGTCAGGCCATGTACTGTATGTTGTTGGGAAAGCATGATATTGTGGTCAAACCATTCAAGTGGCACAGGATTTCGCTGTAAACTTTGACTTTACCGTTACCCCCCAAAACTCAGAATCGTTCCGCTCCAATTGTTCCACAGCCACCTTGCCGCTTCTGGAAGTCGTTCCTTTTTTGGTCCGTCCACTGGTCGCCAACCTTTCTGTGTACGGTATGTTGTATGAGGAATTTTCACACTACGGAATGCAGCCTATCTTGGTACGACAAACACGTTGAAGGAGCCGCGTTAGCCTCTGCCTGCACCAGGTACACAATGTTCGGCACAGCAAGCACCCACGAGCGCTATTCAGTCCACCATGCAGTCTCACGGCCCGCCTTCTTCCCCCCCGTTCTTAACGCCGACGCTGCACCCTTACCGCTTTCGCTTGTTGCTTGGTCGTTGTGTATTGGATCCCAGCCGCCGGGGCGATCGCGAGACAACGCAGGAGGCGGTGTACGGAGGCAACGGGGTCGCGGCCGCTCTCCGCGAGTGGCAGACGACCGCCATAACGGGGACGACATCGGCTTTGAGGCGTCCGAGAAAGCCGCTACAAGCGGCAGCGGGGACGAAGCCCGCCTCCCAGGCAACCCTTGGGCTATTACCGGAAGCGATGGAGGTCGCGACAACAGCGGCGGTGGCGTCGACGCGGTTCGTGGAGATGATGAGGCTTCGCTGCGGCAGCAGCTACAGCTGCGCGAGAGGGAGCGCCACCAGCAGCAACAGCAACAGCAGCAGCAGCAGCAGCAGCAGCAGCAGCAGCAGCAGCAGCGGCAACAAGACTTGTCGAAACAGCAGCCACGGCAGAAGCAGTCGCAGCCCCTTCCACAACAGCAACAGCAGCAGCAGCAGGAGCTGGGTGCCCGCTCCGTTGTGCCGTGCTCGTCGTTATCCCCCGTTCGCACCTCGTTCCCGTTGCCCCATCACACCGCCGCCTCCTCGTCGATCCTGCCTTGTACGCCTTTTGCCGCTGCTTCACGAGGCGCCGAGGGCGACGTTTTGGGTCGCGCGAGCCGAGCTCTTGCGACAAATCGTGTCTGTGTTGGAACGCCGCCGTCGCGCGGTGCTGGGCCCACCCCCGTGCGGCGAAGAAAGAACACCTCCGCGCGAGCGGCGCCAAGGGCGGGAGCAAGTGCGGGGTCCCTTTCGGCATCTGCGGCGGCAAGAGGGAAGGATTATCCAAAGGGGCACCCTGGGCTTGGAGCAGCTTCGTTGACCATCGGCGGCGATGTCAGTTGCTTCGGCGGCGTCAGCGGTGTGGGGTTGGGGTCGTTGCGCGGTGGAGATGGTCTCAATTACCGTTCCGCAGCGGCAGAAGCGGCATCCGTGGCTTCGTCTCTCCGCGAGCAGCGGCGCCACGATTTGTTTTGGCCGCCGTCTTCGTCATCGCTGCTCGAGCGTGCCGGAGCCGACTTGGGGAGCAGCGCCAGGGCAAGCGCGCCCGTGGGTGGCAGCGGCGGCGGCGGCAGCGGCTGGAGCCTGAACCCCTGCTCCCACGACGGGTTCGGAGGCGGCGGAGAGGGAGGCATCGGAATGTTCGGCAAGGAGATGACCGTGGTGCAGAGTTGGACGACAGAAGAAGAAGGCGACGCTGCTGCTAACGGTTTCGTCGCCGCGGACAGCAGCAACCGGCGAGCAGAAGCGCCGGCCGGCCAACAGCAGCAAAGCCCGCGACAGCGGGAACAAGCGCGAGGGGACGATGATTACTCGGGGCAACAGCGGCAGCTGAAACGGCAGCCGGTGCAGGCTATCCCGCCGGGGCGCGGGCAGCGAGCGGGCGACACCGCGCCAGGAACGATCAATAGCCATGAGACGTCGTCAACTACGGCGGCGGTGGCGGCGGCGGCAGTGCTCCCGTCTTGTCGTGAGCTTTTGAGCGACCACCACAGCGGCGACGCCAGGGGCGTGCCAATGCCGGTCGCAGCTGCCCCTACAGGTTCCTCGGCGGCGGCGGCGGCGGCGGGTGCGATGCCGTCACCAAAAGCAAAGCCGCTTGCATCCGCTGGTTCGATATTCAGCACGCCGTACCGTCCTAGCGCGACCTGGACCGGCGGTGGCGATATATACGCAGATGGCGCGTCGGCCGGCGGCGGCGGCGGCGGCGACGAAGAGGGCGCAAGGGCCGGGGGCGGTGGCCGGGTGGGGAGCGAAATACATCGAAACCAGCCACGCCACGACCTGTACGGCGATTTGGAGCGGCGTGGGCGGCAGCCAATCAGCGCGGCCGATTTCTACGGTCACGATCTCGGCCTGCTCCCTTCTATATGTCCCTACGTTGCCTCGGCAGCCGCTTCCCCCGCCCCGGCCGCGATGAACCCCTTCCCCACGTGCGGCACCATGGACAGCCGAGACGAGGATGCCGGGTATGCCGCTTCCATCTTGTCAGCGTCTCCTTGGCACCACCCCCCCGCCGCTGTGGCGTACAACCAGGGGGGCGCCAGTACCAACCTCGCGTGGCCGCCGAAAGATCCCCCTCCCGGGGGCTCCCCAAGTTCCATGCCGGCGGGAGCGTTGGCGTTCGCCTCTTCTCTTTCGCCAACGCAGGCACCAAGTCGCGCGTAGTTGGGGGGGGCATGACTACATCCCCGTTTTTCGTTTTCCAACACATGGAGTGGACTGGACGGTGGTGATGGAATCGCAGGTGTGGTCGCGGGCTACGGCAGTAGAAGGCGGACGAGCTTTGGCGGTACCCCGCGTCCATTTGCTCACGGGCCTGGCGACCTGGCCCGGAGTGGGTGGTGTCTTGGAGCACCAAAGTGTGTGGGGGTGGGCGGGGGTGGCCTTACAGCTTTGCGCCTTCTACATAAGTTAATTAGCGTGGTGGTCGTGGTACAGAGTCTGAGTGTATAAGATGTGAATAAGAGAACAACGCGTCTCGAAGGCCGTCCTGTAGCATGATGTGAACGGCGTAACCTATTGGGTGTGGCCGAAACTATTAGTGTGTGTAGGAAGATAGATGTGCACTCATTCATCTCTATCGAGCAAAGCGGCTAACTTTATCATGAGACCTTTCTTCGGGAGGAATAGATGGAGCTCTCTGGCGTTGTGTTGGGTGTTGTGTGCAAACGCACCACACGGGGTAATTATCAAGCTGGTCGTGTGTTGGAATGCGCTCGCTCTTCGTTGTGAGCCGCCGGGGGTAAGCCCCTGCGCACGAGATCGCTTCAAACAAGCAGTGACGTACTTCGGATGTGCAAGTTCGCGGCTGACAGAACAATGGACGGCAAGCTGTGGTGTTGCTCGTGTTCACAAACTGCAGCAGCGGCACTGCTGTGAAGACCGGCGTCTATCTACAGTAGGTGTCCCGATATAGTGCCGGTATGTGTCCAGGCGATTTGACCTTCACTATACCGGGCACCGGCACTATTCAGAATTATGCCTCAATAGTGCCAAACCGGCACTATTCAGGGTCTGAAAATACCTCTATAGTGCCGGCTTGGCACTATTCAGGACTGTTCGACTTCAGAGTGCAGCGCTTGCGCTTTGCGGGGCTGACAGAGTACCAAAAGAACGGTATTTTGACCAATCGTGAAGTGGGCCACGTGCGCGGGCTTCATTAAGTTTCGCGAGGCTCTTGGGCTGTCGAAAACACGGCATTTGGTCACATTACAATTACAATTAACTTGATTGACCAGATAGATTTGTTGCACAGCAGTTGTTCTCTTCCCACCTCACTCAGCGCAAGCACTCGCTGCTAGTGAAACGTTGCTGCTGCCTTTCAACCGTAGACCGTGCTGCCCGATAAAAGTTCACCTCGCTATCAAATTATTATGTGTTGTTGCAAGAAGGCCGTAGCACTATTCAGGCAACCTTAAAGGCACCCCTCGGCAGCGAAAGAAAGACGCTCATCATGCACGCACTGCACCCGATGTACACATTTATTTGGAGGTAAAACATGGATGGATGGATGTAGTGATCCTTACATGATGAGCACACAAAAGAAGATGCAACCTAAAAAAGGGGTGAAGAAGATAACGAACTCCCCTGTTCCTTCGATAAAAAGCTAGAGAGAAGATCAAGCCTTCAGACACTTCAGAAGCAAGAAAAACGACCAAAAGACGTCGTCAGTCTCAGTGCGGTCAAAAACAGAAAATATTTTTTTCTCAAGGCCGTGAGAGGGTGTCATGGAGGAGCCTGAGCTTTTCTCTGTATAAAAGACAGTAGAAATGGTAGCAACAGAGAGAGGAGAACTACGTGACTGCCAAGGCTTACTACTTTGAACACGCGTTCGGAGTGTTTTCATCCTTCCTTAAGAATATTTTAATAATATAATACCTTGCCGTCCCCAACAACAGCACAGCAGTCAGTCGTACACGGAATGAATTAATTGTTCGGATCATGGCTGTTTTTGTCTTGAAAATTAAAACCAAAACCCGTTCTGTTGGTGGATTTAGACGAGGCACACCCAACTGCTGCAAGGGTATCTTAGGACGCATAGTTAGGAACATCACACTAAATACCCACACCCACCCGCGATGGTGAAGTTCGTTGAGAGTGTGCGGAGCAACCTACTCCTTCTCTAGGTTTGCCGTTGTTTCTGTTCGGAGTCAGTCATGTCATGTTGTTCCGTTCTATGAAAACATTCTACGTGCACGTTCTACTTCTTGAGAAAGAGGAGACGACCATGTACCCTGTATTCAGGGATGATGAGCTCCCCCCCCCTTCCCTCTCTGCACGACGTATGTATGTATACTGCTGCGGCCTATTGTTCTCCACACTTATTTACTTGGCCTGCCTTCGCTGGCCGCAAGCGCCCCCTCAGCCAACAAGATTTGTAACTTGCTGCAAGGGTGTGTATCCAGACCGCAGCGCAGGCAGCATGCAAAGTTGGTACATCAGCCTTTTGCCATCATCTGCCGCGGTCTCAGCAGCCCTCCTCTGCCACCACATGAACTTACTTGTGTGTGTATGTTGTCTGTGCCAGGATGACACTAACACGGAAATCCCACAATATAATAACCCAACCGGACCAATCCGGTGTTGTATCTATCGTCCATCCCGGTCGGGTTCGCGATAAAAGGAAAAAGAACCCGAGTCTCGGCAAAACCAAACGGACGGGTGTTGCAGCCGTACTGAGACTGTAGTTTCCTACACCAACCCACTACATATTCGTGGAAACCGCAATAAAACAATTAACACGATGAGAGGACGGCAACAAAGCTCCTTTTATGGTTTCCTTTTGTCCGCTGGGCGGGTCGTGCATGACATGACATGACAGCTATGACGCCAAGTTGATGACGCAGAAAAATGCAAATAAATACCCCCGGTACCACTGTGTGCTGCCCGGGAAGAAACCGTAGAACACACAGTAGTACAGGTAGTTTCCGCTGGCGCTATGAAGCTATGAATCCATCTACTACATATCTTAATAGTCATTTTCTTCTCTATGGATAGAGATGGATGTAGCGTTGTGTCTACTCGATGTATGCAGTAAGAAATACAGAAATAATACCCCCAACCCCCCACCCATCCCCGCCGCTCGTTCGGAACAACTTTAGACAACTTTTTTTTTTTGTAGCGGTATATTTCCCGTTCCACCGTTCCTAATCGGTGAGCCTACCCGCCGCAGCCCCCGCCCCCCCACCCCTCCCTCTCACTCTCTCCGCTCACCAACTACTCGCTCGCCTCTCCCTCCCTAGGTGCCAGCCCTCTGCCCCCAACCATCAACACCATGAACCCGTCCATGCACAAGTACCAGGCAGTGCTGCTGGCCTGCGCGTTGTTTGTGGTGGCCGTCTGGGTCGGCACGCAGTCGAAGAACAACAACAGCAGCACTACTGTTGCTGGCGCCCACAATCTTCGCAGCACCAACAGCCATGTGAGTTGAATTCCTTCTCGTTTCATACACATAGCGCACACAGCACGCACGCACGCGGCGGTAGCGCGCCTGACGGACAGTTGCTGCGTTCGGCTGTCGATTGATGTTGGTTTCCGTCGCATGTGCTCTGCGTGATGGCCGACGAGTGTGCGCGGTTTTGTTGTCGACGCCCATCAACTCTGTACAAAGACGAACAGCAGCAGCAGCACACCAGCAGCAGAAGAAATTGAATCGGAATTTTCTGGTGGGGGCTCCCGTGCACAGCAGTATACCTTACCCTTGTGTTGAAAATTGACACCCCAACGGCACCAACTAACTGCCCAATGGAGCAAGAGGTGGTCTGGCTGTGTCCACCCCGATGACGACGCCATCCGTCCGCACGGCGGCATGTCTCCGGCGACATTCTTGCCTGGTTTTGCGATGATGATCACCGGGCATCATCATGGATGGAGAGCTGCAGACCACAACGAACGGTTTCGTAGATAGATACAAATTACGCAACGAACGGTAGGTGATTTGTGGACCGTTACAGCAGTAGTAGTACACCGAAACAGGAGACCGGGCAACGGGCCAAGGCACCCCAATAGCAGATGGCCGCTCTGAGTTTCACCGCAGCAAGCAACAGCTATCTCTCTCTCTCGCTCTTTCTCGCTCTCGCTCTCAGGGGGCCTATCTCCTTTTATGATGTCGTTTGAAGTTGGTGTGGCATTTTTTGTGGCTCGACAGAAAAAACACCCCGAACCATGACCATATGCATACACACTTATACGCCGGGAAGCGCCCGATTATCCCGAAATAAATCACTGAGAACCACGAACACGCAGCCCGCAGCCCTCGTCAGGACGTCAGGACGTGCTATTACTACCGTTGAACTCGCCCGTGTGATCGGACCACTGTTTGCTGCTGTAGTCGTCGTGAGCACACCAAGAGAGGGAACGAAGCACATTTTGCTTCAAAGAAATTTATCTTTATTCTCGCGCAACAAGTTTTAGGTTTTGAGCGAGCATCGCAGAAAAACAGGGCAAGAAAACAAACAAAAACTCCTGTATTGGACACCGGCTGGTGCGTCTACAGCAGAAACTACTGGAGATAGCAAACTACATGCACTTGCTATTGCATGTAGGAACAGGCGCAGACTGGCGCCCAGCATACTGCATTCATTTGTAGGCGGAGCGCAAAAAAAAAGGAGGACGCCCCCCCGGTCGGACACAGCCAGCCATACATGGGTCGTAAATGTGGTCATGTGAGGCTCGCTACTACACAGTTTCGTTTGTGGCGTTCCAGCGTACGTGGGGAGCGAGAGGGCATGCCATTATTGCTTCAGGTTTTTTGGTTGTCTCTGGACAGACACAAAATCCTAACATAGTTGCGGCCAACGGTCCAAAAGCAGTAGTGTACTTATGTTCGGCCCAGTTATGATCGACGACAAGGAAGGTTCCCCGCCCAACAGAAAGATTAATCGAAGAAAAAAAATCGATTCCCATCCGCAATACAAACCGAAGTTTGCCCAAGACTCGACCTCAATGAGACCACTCTACTCTAGTCTACAGTGGTGTTGAACTTTTCCCAAAACTCGAACTCAGGGTGACCAGATTTTCGCACGCTGATAACCACGCGCCCTCTCCGCGTGTTTTTGTGATCCGACCTGTTCATCCCTCGCTGCAGGAGAAGCACCAGACGGCGGGCGGCGGCGGACTGACCATGCCGGCTCACGTGTCAGGTCAGGAAGAGAGGGTTGTTCTTTGCGTCGCTTCGGTGCTTGTTGTTGTTTTCAAATTTTTTTTTGCCGCAGCGTTGCAGGCTCTTCTTGTGTTTGCCTTGGTCGTCCTGGTTGGCGGGCGTTCGAGGTTTATCGTACAGGGTTCGTTGCCCACACTGCGACCCCCCCCCCCCAACCTTGGGGACGGAAATCTCATTTCTCGTTGCTTTCTGCCTTGCTTGTTGCTCTCTCTCTCTCTCTCTCTCTCTCTCTCTCCTTTGACGCGCAGCCCCCAAGACCAACTCGTTCAGCGCGGTGACTCTACCCTCGCCCAGCAACAGCGAGGAAAAGGCCAACACGAACACGGAGGACTACGTCTGGCCCGGGGAGTTCGCGCTCGAATCCTTCGAGTCTTTGAAGGACGACCTGTCGTACGACTTTGGCTCGTTCGCGTACGAGCACTAGCCTTCTTCCGGGCCGACACCACAGAATCATAATGAGCTGAGTCAAGAGGAAGCCTTGGAATCGTCTGGAATCTCTCGGCGTGCGTACCGCCTCGAGCGTTGATTGATCTGGTGCGGTTGTCTCCTCGAGCGTCGTCCAATCGTCGCTCGCCCATATGGAGAATGTAAACGGTCGCACCCCGTGCCCAAGTTCTGTTGCTACGTGCTTTGTCTTGTTGAGTGCTGTAGTTTGTTTCTCTCTCGGGTGGACACGGAAGAGAAGGACAGCTTGTGGCCACATTTGAAGAGGAAGATTTCCCCCCTTGGTTGGGCTATCGTAGGGCAGGCTTTTGATGTTGCCTCTCTGCTCCTCTGTCCCATCTTGTACAGCGTAGGAAAAGAGCGTTCCTTGTTTTCGTTGAGGCGTCGAGTTCCTTGTTTTCGCTAAGGTGTCGAATATGACATGATACGTGCATGGTGGAACATGATGTGATCCGTCTACAGAGTAGCACGCCGAGGAGTGCATGGACGGACGGAAATGCCTTGAGGTGACGGAGGGAGACCTTAGGCACTGAATCTCTGTCCGTAGTTGCGCGACCTATCCGGTCGCGATCTTGTGTGGCTCTGGACATCATGCTCGTGTGCTGTTGTCGCGATTTTGTCCATTCTAACTGCTTTGCAGACTGCAACCTGTAGTTTTCTGTAGCTTCGTTTTTCATGCTTTTGTGAGGAGCGTGAGCGAAAGCTCTCAATTTTTCCAACCTTGGGGATGCTGAAAGGACGGCTGGTTGGTGTACGGGGAGTATTCCTGTCTTCCAAGACTCGATTTCGAACTTGACGTTGTTGCAAAGGTGCAGCTAGGACCGGCCAGTTGCCGCTCATCGGAAATGTGGGCGGGTAGAGGGTGGACTGCATTGTTGGTGCAAACAAACTTGACGTTGTATGAAACTGGTGAAAGAGGGTGGGTTCACTGGCTCACGTCGGCTGCTCTTTGCTAAAACGTATGGTAGCTGGCTAGCTGTGGGTGCTGCTGAGACGAAAAACGATCGTGGCTCGGTCGCCTCTGTCGCGTGTTGAGATTCCACCCCTGCTGAGCCAAGGTGGTACGTGTTCATTGAGCACATTTACTTATTTTGTCGTCCAGAGAGTAAGTAGGTTTCGTGAGTTGGGCGGGTACTACATGAAGTTGAACACGCGGCTTGGGAGGAGAAACAAACGTGAAGAGCTTGTTTCATGCTCGGGAGAGTACAACACCAAATCGACGAACGAACGTGTTACATATTTACTGTGGCTTTTTTTATAGGACGGGGGGCGTTGAAATAGTTAAGGCGAACGAACGTAGGTACGTATGTATGGCACTTTCTTTCCACGTCTCATGACGTGGCGTATTCTATTATTCTCGTTATGTGTTCATTTATTTTTTTGTTGTTGCGTGCATGTTTTCTCTTGTCGGGAACCAAAATGACTTTTTGCATGTCGCCACATTCCACTAGGGAATCTGTTGTAGTATCTTATGAAGTACCTTGTAGTATCGTAATGAAGTAGTACGTTGAGACCCGCGTGCGGTTGGCTGTTTCAACCTCCCCACAGCGCGTGTCGCGCGACAGTGAAAGGAACAGGGTGAACTTGCAATAATTGTGCACGATCTCTTTTGGTTGGTGGTTTATGTGGGCTCACTCGTGCATCAGGCCTGTCGTTTGCCGATCAATTCATGTACTACATATGCATGAGTGACCGCTAGCCCGCGCGGTCGCCAACGACATAATCTGTCTATCCATGCCTTTGTTTCTTTTTGTTCTGAAAAGAAAGGCTTAAGGTTCTGTTGCGACGTGCACTGGAACAACGCATGGATCTATCTATCTATCTGCTGGCGTCGCCGCAACGGCAAAACATCGATATATTAATGAAGTACGTTGTAGTAGCGTCATGAAGTACGTTGAGACCCGCGTGTGGTGGCTGTTTCAACCTCCCCACAGCGCGTGTCGCGCGACAATGAAAGAAATAAGGTGAACTTTTGCACTATGGAAAAATGTGCACGATTTCTTATGGTTGATGTGGTTCATGTGGACTAGTGTACCAGGCATCGTTTGCCGATCAATTCATCTACTACATATGCGTGAGCGACCGCTAGCCCGCGCCATCGCCAAGGACACAATCTGTCTATCCACGCGTTTCTTTTTGTTCTGAAAAGGCTTCAGGTTATGTTGCGACAACCTGACGTTCACGACTGGAACAACGCATGGATCTATCTATCTATCTGCTGGCGTCGCCGCAACGGCAAAACATCGAACTAGCTGCTGTATATGAATATCTGCTGTTGTCTGCTGTAGATTATCCATCCATCCCTGTGTTTTTTGGTGTTCTGATTTCGCACACACCTCCGGCCCTATGTACAAGCAAGCATCCTCGTCTGTCTCTATCACGTTCACCGCGAGAGAGAAAGGTCTCATGAAAGCGAACGAAGAAAGAGTCCGTCTGTATCCCCTAGACCTACAGCAGCAGAGTGTGACGTCAAATATTGTCACACGGACCGATTTTCAAAGCTCGACCACTCCACAGCACACAGCACAGAGAGTGGCGGTGCCGAAAATGGCGGTGTTGGAACCCTCTCATCGAGGGCTTTCCGTATGGATTGGTTTGTGGTCTTTGAATATATATGCTCTTCCTCGAGGTCTAGCCGGCCTTTGAAAATCACCCGAGCGGGCGTGGTATCTTGTGCCACCCATACTACTGCTGTGCGGACGGTGCTGCTGCTGTAGCGCAGACCAAGAACGTGCGCGGTATCAACAGGCAGCAGAGAGAAGATATTCAAGCCGGGGGCCGCCTCCCCACTCACCGGTCTTTCCCCTCTGTCTCTGTCTCACACACACGCTGACACTGAGGGCACCCCCGCCTGTTCCGGTCTCCCGTGACATATCATTCATACATGTGCAGCATTGCATGTCTGCGATCCTCTCGCGTATGTATGATGAATGCTAGCATATGGAGGACGGGTCACTGAGGCTTGCTGGCGCCGTGTCTTCTTGCGGCCACGAGTCGTTGCTTGAAATCATCATTGATTGATGCTTCGATGGATCCAGAGATAAATCCAGAGGGAGATCCTTACCGTTGTGTACGATACCACTGCTGCTGCTGTAGTGAATGCGCCGCTTCGTCGGGGTATTTCTGGCGGCCGCTCTTCAAGTAAATGTACATAGAGTGTGCCTTGGATGCGGGTTGCACAGATGAAAGCAATGATGGTTTTCCCGGTTGAAGGTTTGTTTGTGCGCCCAGCGTGAGATCAGCCCTGGAGATCTCCGGCGAGTCCAACAAAAAAAGGGGGAGAGACGCACCGAAAAGAGAAGAGGAAGGTATATTGTATCTAGAAGAGAGGCGAGGTGCGGGGTATGCATAGTATAAGGTGTACAGCAGTGTAGGGGTATGCATAGTATAATAAGGTGTACAGCAGTGCACAGGTCCCCAGGCACATGGAACTTCCGTTGACGCCACGACAGCAACCAAGAGTAAATTTCTTTGGCACGCGTCCTGCATCTCAGAGGGTGTCGGACCCATCATAAATCTAATGTAACAAACAATCACATCCCGTCCGACTGCTGTGGGTATATCTCGAATGGGTAGTCTTTCTTTTTATTATTCCTTGTTCTGGCGTTCTGGCTTCTTTTCTTCTTTTCTCTCGAACCCAAACTTCTCGCTCCATCTATCTCTCTCTTCTCTCTCTATTCCTCTTTTCGTGCCCAGCCTCTCATCTCCCTTCCCACTTCTCCGCACTACTCCGCTCTTGGCACTTCTTCTTCCTCATCTCACCTTTCCAACCACAAGACATCATCACCGAAATCATGCAGAACGAACGCAGGAACACCGGTGTCGTGTCCAGAGCCGCTGCGGCCGTGCTCTTGGTGAGCTGCCTCGTGGTCGGCATCGTGATCGGTGCTCGCGGCTCTTCGTCCTCTGGCAACCTCAGGGTAAGTAAGCACACGTTTGGTCTGTGTTGCTGTATATGGTTTCTCGGTGAATGTTGTCTCTTCCCGTTCGTTCGTGTTTTTTGTGAGAGGGGACGTTGATTCCCGAACGTCATATAAAATAAGTACGTTGGGAGACGGAGCGAGCGGCGGATGCAGACGAGCCGTCCGTGTGCGCAGCAAGCACGTGCAGGCAATGGTGCTGGTTTTGTTCGTTGCCTGCGCACATACATGCAGCGGCAATTGGTTTGGCCCTCCTGCCCCGATTATTATACAGACGGATAATTTTTCTTTTGGTCTCGATGCCCTCCGCTTTCTCTCCAAGAGAGAGGACAATGATAATGGCCAAGGCAAAGGCAGTGGCAATTGTGGCATGCACGCTACCACACGCTTGCCGGCGCGGAGAGAACAGGCGTGCGTGCAGTTCGCGCCGCTCACGAAGCATTGCTTCAGTCTCTTATCAACTCTCGAGGCATGCGCCCCGCAGCAGCTCGGGCTGCTGCAGGCTCCCGGGCTGCTACATGTGAATGTCAAGACAAGAAGGGGTCGTTTTTTCCCCGCCGATTGTAGGTTTCCGAAAAGAGTCGTTGTTGCATGAGACAGCTATATGTGGATGGCATGGCGCGCGCGCACCCCCAACCCAACGGCATCCTCCGTGGATCTGTTCCGAACAACGGACCAGATGGAGCACCCAACGCCTAGATATTTTCTTGACAACAAAAAAGCTTCTGCTCTCGGTGGATGTATTTGCCCTCCTCGTTCGTGTTTCCGCCCTTCCTCTCTTCCGTTCGTTCTCGTATTCTTCAAATAAATGATGAATCGATGAATCTGAGGAACGCGAGTGAGTGAGAAACGACAGAAAGAGACAGGAGGCGGCTTTCTCGAAGCTTGCTGTGGTGTGCTCTCTGGTGATGGCGATTGCACAGGCCTCGTCTCAAGACGACCAGCGGACAATGATGTGGCGTCTCCTCTTTTCTCTTCCCACAAAACTTTTCCATTCTTCTGCCGCACAAACAAAAACACACACACACGCCATGTTTGTTTGTTATTTTGTACGAATGTCGGATCTTCCTCACAACTGACGGCGGCGCGTCGCGGTTCCCCTGTGTGACTCCCCCGCCGGTGCGGGACGAACGCCCGATTCGGTTCTCACATGGGTTAGGTCTGCATTCCCAATCCTGACGTTCAGCTACCTTCATCTTGCGCGCGCGCGCCATGATGGCCTGTCTGTGATGGTACAATTTTTTTGCGTTTTTGCCAACTTGGCAAGATAGATTGCTGTCACAAGAGCGAAGGAACGGACCGGTCTGTTTTTAGGGTTTGATGCACATTTATTTGTCCCATGTTTGTTTGTTTGTGGCTTCTGAGAGGAGAGCCGATCACGATACAGCTCAGTACTATTCACCAATCATACTGGCGGAGGTCGACGCTCCTCGCGGTAAAACAAACCCCCCGTCTTCCCGAGCTGACGTTGATGCGTAAAAAAGACTGCTGTATTACTACCACCGAGTTAGTTACTTGATTGGGTCGAACATTATGTATCATCGACGTGAACACGTTCTGTCCGACAACCAGCAAGTAATTGCATATATGCGTTGGTGTGACGCGCACCTACTTTTGTCAGCTATTTGCTGTTCCACACACAAAACGCAGAGAGGAACGTAGAATAGCACGCGACCCTTAGAGATGGAACGGAGTGTCTCGCACGGGTGTTCTTTCTTGCTCGAGGTATCGATGTATCGACCCTCTCTCAGCCGGTTCTCGTGTGTACCACTCATTTTGTTGCCTTTACTTTTGTTGGGGGAATGAAGTGAGCGTTCCACTTCGGCACGCAAGCTCAACACTGACGACCTCTCTTCAACAGATGAGGTATACTTGACACGAGGACGATTCTGTGTCTGGCAGACCGGGGATCGCCACCCGACGGGTACATACCATGACTTGTAGAACGTATTCTAGAAAGATCGAGGAAAATGTTTCACATTTTCATTCTCGAGCGTTACGTTTAATACTCCAGCCGCAATCAATCAACACCACGAGCAAGGCCGGAGATTGATTGATGTCTCTCTCCGTTGGAGAAGGTTGTTATTGTCCAGAACTTGAGAAAGAACGAACCCTCACGGAGTATTTGTTCGGCTCCGTATGTACAGCAGTACTACAATGAAGTCTGTTAGCACGCGTTATTTACACCTTTACCAGGTTGTAGTATAATAATATAAGATAGTAGGAGTTTCCTCAACAAGATAATGGGGGGGGGTGTTTGGTCACCGGCGGCTACGCTACTGCTGCTGCTGCTGTTAGATGGAGGAAACGATGGCCGTCGTTCCTAATGGGCCTCGCCCTCAGCTGTCAGCTGAGTTCGGCGGCGAAAGTGTGACGTCCGGGTGCGCATACAGCCCGGACTTGGTACTTCGTACGTCGCGTGGAAAAACGAAGAGATATGCAAGTTTCAACTTCTACAAATGGATTGCTTTTTGTGCTCCTGTAGTATGAAAAAAGCTGCCTCCGTTACCGACCCCGAAATCTGACCCGGTATGCATGGCGATGGTGGTGATTTCCCCTATTCACCCCCCGAGACATCGATTTCTTGTTGAAATAATTTTGGTTCTTGTTCGTCCCGAAGTTTTTTTTTTTGTTATTTTGGAACTACTACTGCTGCTGCTGTCGTCAGTCATTCCCCTTCTTCCGCACCTAAGATTCGTATTCATTCGCGTGCGCGCATGCGCAACGGGGTGTATGCGCATGTGCGCGTCAGGAACTTGATTTTTTTTATTGCTTCATGACGCGACTTTCACGCCTCTGCGCGGTTCCTTTTTCCCTTCAATGTATCGTATGCATAGAAGGCAACAACGTGCCGGAACGGACGAACAATTTGTTCGCCTTTGAGCTAGACGGTAACCAATCCCGCCATTACCACCTCCCGTTGATCCGTCCCCGTTCTTGTTCGGACTCCATCCGTTGTTTTTCTTGGAACGCAGGCCCAGCAGTACTCGGCGGCTTCAGTCGGCTCTGCGCCCTCCGCTGCCGGTAAGGACCTAAGCCATTTGCTGCCATGTATCCACCGACACGAGTACGATTGTGGTTGTGCCGCCGCAACCCACAGTACAAGTTTTTTTGTTGTTGTTGTCGGCCGCATGATTCTGAAGAATCGGGTAGATTGTAGGAGGACTGATCGATCGCCTTGCCAAACAAAACGTCGACTCTGGTATGCATGCATGCATAGATCGGTAATGTGGTTTATTTTTTCACGTGACCTTCGTGAGGTGTTGCTTTGAGGCACGAGGTTAACGCCCCCGTACTTAGAGCCTGGTCCGGTGAGAACCCGGCGTGCTCCGTCCCGGCTTTGTAGGGATGCGAGGTCAATGGTCAAACGACTACGGCATGCACGACTATGAGTACACCCCCCCCCCAAGTACGGACACTGCTTGGACGGAGAGTGTCCGACAACGACGGCCCTCTGGACGCTGTGTTCCTTCGTGACTCTTTCAACCATCCCGGTGCCACAGCCATTAGTTCAAGTCGCCCCCCCCCCCCCCCCCCCCAACCGGGCCGGGGAAAACCCCGGGTGCCCCCCCCCGGGTTTTTAA